ATGCCTAGGTACTAGCTCTGTCGTGGTCGGCCATGTTGCCGCCGATGCCGGTCGAGCACGACAGATGACATGGAATTACGAGTTGCGTCGAAAAAAGCTCATTGCTTAAAAAAGAAGTTATGCAATTATTGATCGGTATCAGACTATTTCAATAGACCATTCAAACATATATGGTAATGGAAGTAATAAAAAGGGGGTGTTTGCTATTTTAAATTAATAGGCGAGCATAGCTAAACAATGGACGTTGACAATAAGCAAGACAGTTAGGCGGATTAGTGTTTCTGCTGGCAGCTAAGAAAACGAATGAAAAAACTCTACTATACGAAGGATTCAAAGTGATAATTAGCACCTTTCTGATTTTCACTTGCACTTCAAACAAAAAAATACTTCACGCAACAATTGATGCCGAGCGTAGCCGGGTGTGCCAGTTAGTATTTGATATAATAATATAAGGCTAAAATACTATGTAAGCACCTTTGCTGATGAAAGTTAATTTTCAATTTTGCTAACCTTGTGAAGTAAGAACAGGGATTTTCGAACAGAGGCGGTACTTCACCTAACCTCATCTCTATCAGACTTTCTCCCTTTTTTACGTAGATATGGCATTTAAGAAAAATTGACGTGTTGTACATCAAGGTTGCGACATGCTATACTTACAGTGCGGTATGGAATCAGAAAAATTTAAAAACAGTTGTCTTAAACATTGTGATCACGTATGCGCAAACAAGCAATAGAAACTTCTCAACGGTGTGAATTGCTTATAGATGCTAGCCGCATCTCCTAGCTTTTCTTAGCTTCAGCAACTCCTGGCATCGAATTTGATCTATTACAAATGGTGAAGAAGAACTGTTTGAGTTGATAATAAAAGCTATTAACATTATATCTTCTAGAAAATACTCTAAATGAAAGCACCCTTTGATACAAAAATAATTCTTAGAAAGTTTTTTCGTAATAAAAAAGAAGGAAAGCAAACTAAATCCGACTAGTTTAATGTATACATTTGTGAGAAAATGCAAATTGTTTTTGCTCTCTTCTTGCAGTTTGACAAAAAGGTAGATCTTGTTGCCAGCTGTATTATGGAAGAAAGTTTTGAACATCATCGCAAGCGTCCGTAATTGGATTGCTTTATCTTTGAGACGAAACCATTAGGCGATAAGAGCGCAACTTTCTCGAGGTGCCACCATGGACACACCGCCAGCGAAAAGGTTGGTTAAAGGATATATTGATATATTTTATAATCTTTTGCATCCAGCTTCTTCTATCATTGGGATCGCGTAAGTAAAACTTTTCAAAACCCTATTCAATAACATCGCAGGCGAGTGCGTACTTCCATGGCAATCTGATGAAGCTGGTTGACAAAAGAGGCTTGGTTCTTATGTGAAACTGTTTGAAGCGAAATCATTAGCTTTGTTGCTTTGTAACTGCGCTTTATAAGTAGGAAGATAACGAAAATTTATGGCTCACAATCAGCCTGAACGCACAACGCCAATTACTGCAAAGTTTGGAGAATTCACGAAACATTATCCGCATATAAATCTTATTCTAATCAGAACCATCTATGGTCACAAGAAGAAGAAAGAGAAGCAAGAAGTAGTCTTCTACACACATTTTGAAGAAGTACTACAGGTAAGCAAAATTTCTAATGCTTGGAATGTAACCTCATACTTTCTTCTTCAGAAAATCAATCCATTTGGACCATACCAGATATTTGCTGTGATTGTTATACTCTATGCTTCGATAGAATGGGCTGGTAAGTTATTGGTTTCAATTGAAGAAAAATCCGTGCAATGTCTAGCCTTCATATCATTTGAAAAAACTAAAGATAGGCTGTTTTGAAATTTTCTCTTTCTCTAACACTGTAAGAGTATAGCAATATGGTCGATATATTGACATTTTCAAATATTTTGATAGAACACATAATCCCCGTGGATTTTTGTCCAAATGCAATCGAAATGTTCAAAAAATAATGTTTTACAAACGAATTGCTGCAACGCTCCTTAACACCTTAGTATTAGGTCTAGATGAAATAACTGTTGTTTCTATTCAGAGATAGTGCCTTCTTTGACCAGACAAGAAAAATTAATAGTTATAAATTATTTATATTCATGGATTGTTTGCTTAAGACCGTCATATGTACGAATTGAAAAGCATCTCCATTATGATGGATGGAAATTTTGATTTGTTAGGTGACGAATAACTCAACTAGAATTCTATGACTTTATATGAAGTTTAGAAAGCTTTGAGTATATCTTCCTCCTTTTCATTTTTTGCGGTCTATAATT